GTAAAGTCAAAGGGGTCAGTCAAGTCCGGTCAACACCCGGCCCGTAAGTCAACAGGTCAGTCAAACTTGGTCAACACCCGACCTGAAAAGTCAACAGATCAAATCGGGCCAGGATAGACCCGGTTTAGTGTGAAACGGGTTGACCCGACCCGTATTGCGTGCGAACACGTGGTGCACACGTGGAAGCTCCCACCGACGCGTGGGAGCGAGTGAGGCTCCTGCCGGCGCGTGGCCGCTTCTGGGAGGCGCGTGGGGGCGCGTGACAGCTTCTGCCGATGCGTGGGGGCGCGTGATAGATTGTAAATTTTTTTTCTTTTGATGTAAAGAATAAAAATACATACTTGGTATATTGTTATGAGTCTAATTTTGTTATTAAACCATAAACACGTGTATTATTTATCAAATATAGTCAACCTTTATTTGATAAATAAATAGTTTTTTTTTTTGTATTTGTTACAGAAAAATGTTACGTTATAGACGTGCAATGGTTGCTAGAACACCCGCTCAAAGGGAAAGGGTTATGAACATGATTAGAACTCTACAAACTCACACATTGATTTTAAGAGACACAGAGGATGANCACGACAATAAAAAAAAAAATCAACACCAAGAATATGAAACGAACAAAACTTCAATCAAGATCGAATCTTTGGAAGGACAATTGTAAAAGATTAGATTGTAACAAATCAGACCAAGATTCAAGATTAACAAGATTTGGCCGCAACTTTTCTTTCTTTCTTCTTTTTATTTTTTTATATATCTAATCAAGATCTGAACGTGAACAGTATATTCAGATCTGATATATGTTGCAATTTTTATTTTTTTTTAACTTGGCCGACTTTTGTTAAATCAAATCTGATTTGTATTGAATTTAATTTGCAATCAAGAAAAGATGCTAGCAAGATTCAATCAATTACAAATCAAGACCCAAATGAAATAACATGGATTCAACACAAGATCGGATTACAAAACATGGGATTAAATTCAAAAAACCCTAATGACTTGAACTAAATTGAATCGAAACCCTAATTTGGTGCACGAATTGACCAAGATGCATGGCCCCCAAGATGTTCAAATAACCAAGAAATCACACCAAATTCAATAATATGATGATCGGTTTATTCAAGATATTCAGCAAGACTCAATCAAGACGAATTGAATACGATGAAACAAGAATAAAGACTCGAAAAAAACAAAAGAAAATAAAAAAAAAAAAATAACAAGGAATCCTATTTGAACTTAGCTCTGATACCAACTGATGCGAACTCCTTCGATTTGCGAAGAAACCTGCTGATCAAGAATGTAAAGATTTAGGAACAATCAGAATTTAAAGAATTGCGACCCGAAACGAATCTATCGTCAGAACCTTAGTATAGATAATCTGAAACGCCACAATCTTGATTTAGATTAATAAGTTTCGTGGACGAACGCCACAAGAATTGGTGATTCTTGAGGAGTTCTAGAGATCAAGATGCAATTAAAAAAAAAAAATGAAATATTTAATTATTCCTCCAAAAAGTGTGCAGCCAAAACAACCTACAACTATATATAACTAACTAATTAGCCTAAAATAAGGCTAACGGCCCATTAATAGGTCTTAACCCTAATAACTAACCCAAACCCAACTAATAAAAATAATAAAAGAGTTGAGCTTTAGTAAATAAATAGTTCCAGCCCATTACACCAAAATAAGTTTTAAAATAGCTTAAAATAGCCCATATAAAATAACAATTATTAAGGCGCATGAACAAAGGTTTGGACGCCAACTTGGACCTAATTAAGGCTAGCAAGAATCGGTCTTCAATTCCTCAAACTTGGACTTGGGCTTCAATCTTATTAACAGTCTTTTTGGATCCCTTTAAGGCATACTCGGTTTCATGCATTGCTTCCTTGGCTTCAAGTTCTTCAATTATGCTTGACAAGGTACATTGCATCTTTTTAGCTCGACTCCTCGTAATCAGGCCCACCGAAATGTGAAGAGGATCATGTGTCAGCTTTATGACAACAGGCTGCTCGGTCATGTCCTCATCAATATTGGTGGATGGTTTTTTGTTTGATCAATGAATTTGATGAAGTATTGTGTAGTGATGACGTTGATTTAAGGTTTAATCTGGACTTGATTTGTCTATGCAAAAACTTTGATTTGGGGTTTGACGTTGGATCATGGACGTAGGAGACTTGATGAAAAATTGGATGAGAATGATATTTGGAAAAGTTGTTGAGATTAAGGGTTGAATAAGAAAATTTTATGAAGTTTTTTGTTTTTTGTTTTTTGTGGAGAATAATGTATAATTTTGTAAATTTTGTTTGATGAATGTAAAATTAATGAATTTGGAGTGATTATGAAATTTTAATCAAGGCAAAGATATCATTTCAATACTATATTTAACGAATTTTTATTTACAGAATTTGACAGGATAGGGGCTAGCCTCCTATTTTTTATACTTGTGGGCCATTTTGTGATAACTATAGGGGTTTTCTAGTAAAAAACAAATAATTATACATGTGGGATTTACATAAACTAATCATTTATTAATCTTGCCTCCCTTGCTCTGAAGTAAATTTAAATGGTAAATTTATTAATATTATCTTCCTTATCATTAAATTAATTAAAAAGGTGAATTTTAATTACCAGGTTTGTTAATCAATTTATAAACGTGTGTCATTTTATTTGATTTAATATACTATTTACTAAATCATCTCATCATTTATGCATCATTGTCATGAGAAATACATATTTTAGAACAAGAAATTTGAGGTTTTTTTTTTCAGATATATGGTTGATCTTAAAATTATTTTTATGAAAAAATTATCCTGATGATGAGTAAAGTAAGGGCTAGTTTGTATTTGCTTAAAGTCAAAACGTGTAAAACAAAAATTTATTGGTAATTTATAGGTGATATGATGTTGAATTAATACTCAAAACTAACAAACTAGTGGTCGACTGGTCGTGCATGTGGAATATTATTTATTAGAATTTAACATTAGATTTCGTTGAAATGTATGTATTAGTTTAATGGGAGAACGACATTTTCCCACCCAAGGTTTGGCAAAATAACACTTTCCCACCCATTAAGTTTCAAAATGACACTTTCCCACTCTTCGTCAAAATCTGTTATGTTTTCTGTTAGTATTTGGCTACAAAGAAGAAAATATCCTTAAATATTTGACTTTATAATTTTTTATTTATTTTTGAATTAGCCAAAAAGTAAGATATTAAAAAGTCAAAAAAGAAAAAATAGTTAACCCAACTAAAAAGTTAAGAGTAATGCTATGAAATTGTTTAAAGTTAAATGACCTTAATATTTATTTATTTATAATGCCATAAATATCTCATCACTATTATTCAATAATCTACTAATATAATGTTTTTCATTTTTACTAATTAACATAGAAAATCTTAATAGTTAATATTCCTAATTAATTAAATAAACAAAGGAAAAAAAAGTATTTTTACACTTGAGTAAAGACTTTCACTTAACTAAATTTTAATTTATAATAAACTATTTAAGGGTATTTTTGTCTTTTAGTCAAATATTAACAGAAAACACTAACAGAATTTGACGAAGGGTGGGAAAATGTCACTTTGAAACTTGATGGGTGGGAACGGGTCGTTTCGCCAAACCTTGGGTGGGAAAATGTTGTTCTCCCTAGTTTAATTTGTAAAGCTTTCAAGTTCATCCAAAGCACTAGAGATGGGCGCGGGATGGGGCGGGGCCGAGGATCTCATTCTCCATCCCTGTCCTCGCTTCTGACATAGACCATATGAATATATTCTAAATTACGTAATCATTCTTCAAATCGATGATATGATCAAACAGTTTGATTCAAGTTTGTCAAAGATAAAAGTGAAAACGAGAAATTGATTAGTTTGCTTGAATTTTGTCAGCAATCTTTTTGGGTATCTAGGAAGAGTAAGTGGGGTGGGTTGTAAATTGTAATGGTTTGGAAATGAACAGGGTTCTCTGGTTTTATGTTGAGTATTTAGGAAGAGTAAGTGTCGTCGGTTGTAAAAATGGGGTCAGGATTTGTTATGTTTTGTGATGTTTGTTTGTTCATTTGCTAAATTGATGATATGATCAAGCTGTTTGATTCTGGTTTTATGTTTGTTCACCTACTAGAGGCAGTCTAATCAAGCTAGATTAGAGCTTGACAACTGCAGTATGCCTAAGATACTTGAGTAGTTGTCAAGCTTGAGCAAACTCGAGCTCAAGTACGCCATTTCGGTGTCGAGCTCGAACTCGAAACTGTAGCAACTGAGCCAAGCTCGAGTAGATAGATGCTCGACTCGGCTCAGCTCTTATACACCATTAACTCTAGTCCTCATGTTTTTGCCATTTTTTGTAATGAACACCTATTGGTTTTGGAAATACGACTCTTAACTTTCTTTTTTTATGAACCATTAGGTTATTATGTTTAAGTTTGAAAAAATGATGTTTTTATTATTCATCCAAATTTAATAATCTGATATCAATCAGCAATTTTGAGAAGTTACTATGTTTTTTTGAGATTAAATTGATGAAATTATTGATAAATTTGAATTGATGATATTTATGAAACTGGCAGATATTCACTACAAAATAACTAAACACATCGGGGCTAGGGTTGGATTTCCAACTAGCAAGTATTCACATCAAAACACAAAATATATTGAGGTTTGTTATATATATATATATATATATATATATATAAAACCTTTATCATGAAATGTTGATCAACACTTCAAATTCCAAAATCACATGATCAAACTTAATTCTTTCCATAGTTCAATATAAAAACACCAAAAACAATACAAATCAACGAGACTTTATAATGAAATGAGATCCTTTGGACGAAGCCTCCAGAATAAAATCTTCACCGTCCAACCTCATGAAGACAGCATTCAAAGGATCTCACCATAAAGAGAATTCTAGACCCTTCGCATCCAAGGATTCCACAAACAAGGAAACAATCTGGACCGTCCATTCGACTAACCTTTCATATAAATAAAGTCCCCACAGCTCTAACTTTTTCTCGTGAACTTTCTGTACGATATTCTTCATTCCTGGCGTGTTCGGATCAAAATCTGTTGAAGAAAAGAATAGAATTTGGGGTTTAAAGCTTTTTAATCGTTCTTGACTTTGATCTTGAAAGTGTTAAGAGAAGATGTTCGGGAGAGCGCCGAAGAAAAGCGATAACACGAGGTACTATGAGATACTGGGCGTGTCCAAGAACGCTTCACAGGACGATTTGAAGAAGGCTTACAAGAAAGCTGCAATCAAGAACCATCCCGATAAGGGAGGCGATCCTGAGAAAGTGAGTTCTCTTCTACTCATCTTATTATTGCCAGTCCGGTGAAGTACTATGAATTAGGTGGTGAAATGTTCTGTCGTTTTTTTTTTTAGTGTTTTTTGGATTTTAGGGGTTTATTAATTGTTGGGAATTGTACATTCATTCTTTTTCGTGGATATTAGTTTTCTTCTTTGGCTTTTCTGAGGAATTTTAGAGGGGAAATGATGAATTTGTGGGATCAATGGTTGAGAAATTTGTAATGAAAGGATTTTTTTTTTTTTCTTTTTTCTTTTTTTGCTGTTTCTTATTCTTTATTAGTGTTTTATGGGTCTGGTGATTGATTTTATGTGAAAAAGATGTGGTCTTTAGCGTTTGAATATGTTGTAGATGAGTAAAGATGAATCTTGAATGGGTTTCTTTTGCAGTTCAAGGAGTTGGCTCAGGCATATGAGGTTCTGAGTGATCCTGAGAAACGTGAGATATATGATCAATATGGTGAGGATGCACTCAAGGAAGGAATGGGTGGTGGTGGTGGTGGCCATGATCCATTTGACATATTCCAATCTTTCTTTGGTGGGAGCCCATTTGGAGGTATGGACTGTATGGACTTTTATATGATTTAGAGGGAGTATTTTATTAGATTAGCCGGTGCATCTGTGCTCAAGTACTGGTGATTGAATCAATGTCTTGTTTCTGAATAGGTGGCAGCAGCAGAGGACGTCGACAGAGGCGGGGAGAAGATGTGGTTCATCCTCTGAAGGTTTCTCTTGAGGACCTCTACCAAGGTACCGCAAAGAAGCTCTCACTCTCGCGAAATGTGATATGTTCTAAATGCAATGGGTGAGTACTGTTTTTTTACTTTAATGCTCTTTTGAAGATCCTTTTCAAATATGGTTAATAATTTTCCACATGGGATACTAATATTTGATCTACAACAGCAAAGGATCGAAATCTGGAGCTTCAACGAAGTGTGCTGGTTGCCAAGGTACTGGTATGAAGGTTTCAATTAGGCACCTTGGCCCCTCTATGATTCAACAGATGCAGCATGCTTGCAATGAATGTAAGGGTACTGGTGAGACTATTGATGATAAGGATCGATGCCCACAGTGCAAGGGAGAGAAGGTTGTTCCAGAAAAGAAGGTGCTTGAAGTTTTTGTTGAGAAGGGAATGCAGAATGGGCAGAAGATTACCTTCCCTGGTGAAGCTGATGAAGCGGTATGCCTTGGTTTCGGTTAGCATAGCTTCTTCCCCTGTATACTGGCTTTATGTAATGGCTCCGATTGTTTTTCCTATTTGTGTTTTCTGCAGCCTGATACAGTCACTGGAGATATAGTTTTTGTCCTTCAGCAGAAGGAACATCCCAAGTTCAAGAGGAAGGGTGAAGACCTCTTTTATGAGCACACATTGTCTCTCACTGAGGCTCTATGTGGTTTTCAGTTTGTATTGACACACCTGGATGGCAGACAGCTCCTTATCAAGTCCAGCCCTGGGGAAGTTGTCAAGCCTGGTGAGTAATAGGTGCACAACTGTAGAAGTTTCTAGAACGTTTGAGATTGTATTGATTGCTGTTCTAAGCGTTGACTTGTAATTCTCTTTGACAGATTCATTCAAGGCTATTAATGATGAGGGGATGCCTTTGTACCAGAGGCCATTCATGAAAGGGAAGCTTTACATTCACTTCACTGTGGACTTCCCTGATTCTCTGACCCCAGATCAGGTTAAGGCACTAGCGGCTGTTCTGCCACCCAAGCCATCATCTGAGCTGACTGACATGGAGCTGGACGAGTGTGAGGAAACTACGTTGCATGATGTTAACATTGAAGAGGAGATGCGGAGGAAGCAGCAGTCTCAGGGTCAGGAGGCGTATGATGAAGATGATGACATGCACGGTGGTCCTCAGAGGGTGCAGTGTGCCCAACAGTGATGATGATAAAAATCGATAGACCTGAGTCCTTTAATATGCTTGCATGATTGAAGCTACTAATGTGACTAGTACTTAGAGATCTTGGGAATGTGGTGAGATAACCATGGAGAGACTTAAGGGACAAATTTTCATTCCTAAAAGTTCTTTTAAGGCAGTCATTTTCATATTTTTATAATTGTTAATGTTTTTGTTATGTGATGGTTGAAATCGAACCTTGTGATTTCTGGCTAAACTTAGATGGCAGGCCAAACTGAAACTTATTTGGCAAAAATAAGCGACAGAAATTTATGCAGGTAGAAAAGAAGATTGATATTTTTATTAGTTTAATCTTACTATATGTGATGTTTACATAATTGAGATTGATTAATAAGTATAGCGTACTGTTTGTGTGCGCAATACGAATTGTTTAGTTGTAAAATTCAAGATTACACAAAAATTTTATTTGGAAAATTGATTAATAATTTGTTGGGTGCGTGCAAACTCATTGAGACAAGTGTTTTTTTTTTATGGATTATATTTTCTGTGTTCACTTTTCTTAAAACTGCATGCCACTTTCCTTATAACAACAAATGCCATTGAAAATTTGCAAAGTTTTAGGTTTATGATTTTATAAAGGAATTAAATTAAATTAGAGTTTTCTAAATTTGTACCATCTCCATGTATCAGTAATCAGTATTTGAAACAATCCACCCTATTTTTTCTATAAATCTAGATTGGGTCTCATAAAATAGTATTCTTTCTATTTTTTCTCATTAGCAAAATAATCACTTCCATTATTCGGAAAAAAAAAAGCTTTAGCAAATCCTTTAAATTTAAGAAAAACTCTGAAATTGTCATTTTGAAAATTAATTCTAAAAAAAAATGTAAAGTTGTTCCTGAAATAGTATTAAAATAAGGAAAATAATATAGTCACTGAATGTAGTGCATCGAATTAATGCATCGAATGACATGATAAAATCCTGACGGTTGATTAATTATGAATTAATATTAATCGATGGTCAGGATTGTATCACGTCATTCGGTGCATGAATTCGGTGCACTACTTTCGGCAACTGTAGCATTACTCTTAAAATAAAGTCTTAAAGTCCAACATGAATAAAAGAGTAAACGACATTTACCCACCCAAGCTTTGGCGAATCTTTAAGTTCCCACCCATGGTTTCATAAATTCTAGATTTCCACCCTTAAATTCATTAAAAATTGTTTAATCTAATTGTTAAAAGGGTAAAATGGTCATTTCAAAGATAAAATTTTTGAAGTAACCCTCATATCTCAAATTCACCCTACTGGAGGATTAGAAATTTCAGGCCAATCCGGTCTGTTCTGGGTGTAGTCGATCCCCCCCAACACCACCATTACAATCCCCTCAACCCCTACATCAAAACCCCTAACCTCTATGTCTGATTGACCCCTCGATTGACGGCCACCATTCTTAGTTTTGGTCAAGCGTTTAATCCAAATTTCGACTCATCCCGACATCGAACCCACCCCCGACACCACCAATGGTATCACCAGCTTCTCCGGACCAAAACTCCCAACATCGCTGATCACAATTGCTTGCCAATCGCCGATTGCTATCGCCAAACCTTGGGTGGGTAAATGTCGTTTACTCTAAATAAAATACTTAAAAGTTCTAACAATAGCGGAATTTAATAACACGAAATGACAAAAATAACCATCACTAGACCCAATCTCAGATATTACCACAAATGAGTTGACTGAACATTTATGAACTCTTGAGTTAAAATAACACACTGAGTGGACACTTTTTCAGTAAATCTCAGAGTAAACAACTTTTTCCCTCCCAAATAATGGTTTAATAACACTTTTCTACCAACAGACTCTTAAAATACCATTTAACTATCTAAATTTATATTCCTTTTTAATTCTGGCATTGTTACGACCCTACGCCACCACCATTCTCTTCTCCGATCATCGCCCACCAAAACCCCTCAAACCCTACTTTTGCTGCCTCCGCCAATCACCAACAATCGATTGATTAGGGTTTTCCTAGCCCCCCCTTCTAAGTCAAATTTTGATCAATCCCAACCACTAAAATACAACCTACCACCACCATCAAAAGACTTATCTGCCTCTCCTTTTTAAAAGCCCCAACAACCTGATTAGAGTTTGCTCTATTTGTCATCGGAATATAAATTTGGATAGTAAAATGGTATTTTAAAAGTCTATGATTGAGAAAATGTCATTAAGTTATTATTTCGGTGGAAAAAAGTCATTAACTCTAAATCTAATTAAATTTTTTTTTTTTTTTTTAATGACCGGGGTATTTGAACAGTTTAAGAACATCTTAATTAATCCATAGAGTCTATTGAACACCATATAAACCTAATAAATCATATAAATTATATAATTTCTAAGTAAACCTGAGGTCGCTAATCTAATACTTTGATAACATAGAAAAACAATTTGTAAACATAATTTAAAAAACATTCATACAGCAACCAATAAAAATATGTCNTCCGGTTCCTCCTCATGCAAGAACAGGAACCGGAACCGGAACCATACAGTAACGGTTCCAAAAAATTGGAACCGGAACCTACCCGCACAGTGCAGGTTCTGGGTAGGTTCCGATTCCGGTTCCGGTTCTTACCCCCGGTTCCGGTTCTACCCGCTACCCGTGCTCACCCTTAGCCACATGTAATGAATGGTTGATAAATAAATGGAAGTTAGATGGGATATTGTTGTAAAGTGTATAAGCATGAAAGGGGTAATAAATAATATAAAAATGTCAGAGTTAGGAATCTTCAGAGGTGGTGACGGGTATCTTTAGTTTTCAGACATTCGTATAGTACACAACCATTTTCAACCTTTTCACACTCTGCCTGTAATTAAAATATGGGTAAATGACATGTTCCCACCCGAGGTTTGACGAAATCTGAAGTAATACCTTTGATTTCATTTATTCCAGATTCTTACCCTTAAACTAACAGTATTAGTCACTGTTGGATTCTGAAAAGAGCAATTACCAAACTATCCTCCCATCTTCGTCTTCGTCTTCTTCTCTTCTGCCGCTTCTCTCCCCCTCCCGTAGCCACAGCCACAGCCACGCTCCTCTCTCCCTCCCGAAACTCCAAAGTCACCACCACCACCACCCATCGCCATTGCAATCCCTCACCACCACCCGTCTATCCCACTACCCTCCCATCTTCGTCTTCTTCTTCATCTCCCCCTTCTTCTCTTATGCCGCTTCTCTTTCCCTCCCACAGCCACAGCCATAGCCACAACCACGCTCCTCTCTCCCTCTCGAAACCCCAAAGTCACCACCACCACCCACCACCATTCCACCCATCTATCACCATTACAATCCCTCACCACCACCTGATTTCGGTCCCATTTGGCTCGATCTCAACTCTGTTGGCTGTCCTCATCATCACCACAAACACCACTACCCTTCCACCTCCAAAACTTCCATTTTCCCCAGCAGTGGTAGAGGGGAAGCAGTTGGTGGAGAGAAGAGAAGAAGAAAGAGAGAAGAAAAAGAGGAGAAGAAGAGGAAGAATATGGTGGAGAGAAGAGAAGAAAAAGAGAGAATCTGAAGAGAGGAGAAGAAGAAAAAGAAAAAGAAAAAGAAAAGAGGAGAAAAAGAAGGAAAGCAGTCAACGGTGGTGAGTTGAGAGAAATGGGTTTTGACACTTTTACCCTTAACCTTTTAAAATAAAAGAAACAGTGTTAGATTAAGGGTAGGTATCTGGAATAAATCAAACCAAGGGTATGAACCTTGGGTTTCGGTAAACCTTAGGTGGGAACATGCCGTTTGCTCTTAAAATATTATAGGCATGATTTTTGAGGTACATGGCAATGGCATGGATTTAATAACATTTTTAAATAGTATGCATCTTTCATGTTTCAGAAGCAAAATTGCACAAATTAATTCAAGCAATATCTTGCTCTTTGAGTCAATGCTCACAATCAAAATAAACAACACATGAGGATGTCTGGCCCTTAATGGAGAAAAAGTAAAGACTGCTAGTTCAGAGTAAGATAGGACATTATAACAACCGTAGATAGGTCCTTTGTGATGTGGGATTATTAGGACCGTTACAATCCATCCTTCTTGGAACCAACACGGTAGTTATTAGGAGTGATCGGTTTCGAGTATTCTGCATTTTTATAAGAAACCGGAATCGAAACTGACCAGTTCTTAAGATTTGGAACCCAAACCGGAACCAACCAGTTCTGAATCCTAAAAACCTGGAATTGGAACCTGAAACATAGGCTCCGGTTCCAGATACCAAGATTAATTATCCCCCTACTTTTAAAAAATAATAAATACACCCCCAAAAATTACAAATACACACCCAATAGTTTACTAAAATTATAATTCAACCCCGGTTCTTACCCAGATACCCGAACCTTTGTTCCGATTCCAACACTGTAGGAACCGAAATCGAGCCTAGGAATTCCCAGTTCCAATTTTCCAAAACTGGAACCGNAAAAAAAAAAAAAAAAAAATTAAAACCAATCATAACTACATTTTTTTTTTTCATTACAATGAGCTTCAATAAAAAGTTATAAAATACAAATAAATATCTTCAAAAAAAAACAATTTTTTTATAATTGTCCTTGACGAGTTTACCTATTCTGAAAACATTGGATAATCATCTTATTGTCAATTGTATCAAATACATCTTTCTCAATATAGATGACCAAACAATCATTCATCCATTGATCTCCCATTCGATTACATAACCGACTTTTCACAAGAGTCATTGTAGAAAAAACCCTTTCAACAGTCGCAGTTGCAACTAGTAAAACCAATGCAACTTTCACAAGCTTATACACCAACGTATGCAAAATTTCTTTTTTAAACCAAACTAAATTATTAACCAAATCACCAATTCCTTGTAACTCGGTAAATTTATTACAAGAACATATGTCAATAACATAAATCTCAGCTTGGTTTTCAATTACCATCAACTCAAGTACAAAAAAATCAAATGGATAAAACTGACCAAACCCATTCTTCCCTCTCTTCTCTTTTTCCTTTTCTTCGCTTCTTCTTTATGGGTTTTTCTCTCTTCTTCTTTATTATTGGCGAATAACCCAGTTTATATATAAAACAACTTCTTTGAATTATGAAACTGTCCCAAGATTCTCTTATTCTCACCATAATCTCACCACATTAGCTTTCTTATGTAAAAATACCAAGATTTCTCCTTTCAGTTAAATGCAAACCCAATAGTTCTTATTCCTTTCATTTTTACTTTTAATAAAACTTTTAAAAACTAATAGATGCCTTGCATAAAAAATAAAAATCACAAAAAATATAAAATATTAGGATTAAAAATAGGATTTTACAAAAATAAAATCCAAACTAACTGTAGGGAC